AACAAAGATGTAGGAATAAAGAACGTATGTAGGAAATAGAAAAAGGAAAATAAAAAAAAAATTAAGGAGAATTTAAAAGGCTGACAAAGAATATGAAGGACCAAAGGTAATGTCTACGCCGAGGATACCTGAAACGAGAAATGGAGTTTTATTAATTTCCCAAAATTGTACGATTAGAAATTTAAAAAAAAAACGACAAAAGACGAAGGCGTGAAGAGCGTATCAAGGAAAGAGAAACAAGAAAATAAAAAGTTTTAAGGGGAATTTAAGAAACTGAGAGAGTGCATCAATAGCAAAAAAGTAATGGCTATGCAGAGGAAACTTAAAGAAAGAAATGGAATCTTATCAAATACCCAAAAATGTGTGATGGGAATGAAAAAGAAAACAAAAGCGACGAAGAAAAACATATGAAGGATAGATAAACAGCAAAATAAAAGGAAAATTTAAGAGACTGATAAAGAATACAGAGAACGAAAATAATGGCTACGCAGAGGAAACCTAAAGAAAGAAACGAAATTTTATATAATTTCCGGAAATAGTGACAGAAGAGATTTAGATAAAAAAAAAAAAGAAACCAATAGCAGAGTGAAGAACGTTATGAGGAGAATTTAAGAGACTGAGAGAGAATATCGAAGATGAGAGGTATGGCTACGCAGAGGAAGCCTAAACAGAGAAACGGAATTTTATAAAATTCCCAAAAGGGTGAAAATGAGAAATAAAGTAAAATAAATCAAGGAAAACAACTGTAAAATGAAGAACGTGTCAAAGAAAGAGTAACTGAAAAATAAAAGGTTATAAGAAGAATTTAAGAGACTGAGAAAGAATATCGAAGATGAGAGGTATGGCTACGCAGAGGAAACCTAAACAGAGAAACGGAATTTTATAAAATTCCCGTTAGGATGAAAATGAGAACGAATGTAAAATAAAAATCAAGGATAACAACTATAAAATGAAGAACTTGTCAAAGAAAGAATAACTGGAAAATAAAAGGTTATAAGAATTTAAAAGACTGGGAAAGTCTATCGAAGATGAGAGGTATGGCTACGCAGAGGAAACCTAAACAGAGAAACGGAATTTTATAAAATTCTCGAAAGGATGAAAATGAGATATAAAGTAAAATAAATCAAGGAAAACAACTGTAAAATAAAGTACGTGTCAAAAAAGAGTAACTGGAAAATAAAAGGTTATATGAAGAATATAAGAGACTAAGAAAGAATATCGAAGATGAGAGGTATGGCTACGCAGAGGAAACCTAAACAGAGAAACGGAATTATATAAAATTCCCGTAAGGATGAAAATGAGAAATAAAGTAAAAAAAAAATCAAGGAAAATAACTGTAAAATGAAGAACGTGTCAAAGAAAGAGTAACTGGAAAATAAAAGGTTTTAAGAAGAATTTATGAGACTGAGAAAGAATATCGAAGATGAGAGGTATGGCTACGCAGAGGAAACCTAAACAGAGAAACGGAATTTTATAAAATTCCCGAAATGAGATTTAAATAAAAAAAAGGAACAACGATGGAATGAAGAATGTTTCAAAGAAAAAGAATCAGAAAAATAAAAAGTTTTATGGAGAATTTAAAAGACTGATAGAAAATATCGACAACGAAAAGTATGGCTACGCAGAGGAGACATAAATAGAGAAAATCATACACCATAGTATCCAGAGAAAACCTAAACAGAGAAATATAATCACTTATTATCATGTTCACCTAAACAAACCACGTCAAAAGAGTGATTTACAAAAAAGGAAGATTCAAATCAGATGATGACACATCTGCGAGAAAAGAAAGGAAATGGTAAACGTTATAACCACCGAATACAATAAGATGATATAGAAAGAATACAAAACAATACATGGCTGTATGGCGACAGAACTTCTCTGGGAATGGTGTACTCGATTTAGAAAAATCGTATCATTATAAACTAATTACTCTCATAGAAAACGGAAAGTATATTTTAGCATTTAGACATCCAAGGAAGAAGACAGGCTCTAATAAGCATAAAAAAAAATAGAACCTGGCAGATAATGCCAACGAACCACCGAGGCAATATGACGGAGAGGGACAATTTAGGAAAATACCAGGACTTCGCATCAGAGCTGAGAATGAATGATAAAGAAATTTGAAGATTCGAATCATGTCCATCATTGTAACTGCGTCTGGAACTAGCCAAAACGCTTGAACCAAGACTGGACAACGTTGGAAACCAAAGTAAGATGGAAACGACAGTACAGACAACGTCTATGCTGAAGCCGGTGATGATACTGAGCAAGGTGCTGGAGACTTGAGGTGAATTGCCGTCAATCAGTCTTTAAGTGATAGCCACCAAATGTCTGGTGTAAACCTGCACGTGTATTAATAATAATAATCACTAGCCACCGCATGCATCATCCTAAGATTGATGTTGAACGCCTGTATGTGACCAGAACCGAGGGAGGCTGAGGATTAGTTCAACTAGAACTGTCTTACAAAACCACAACAATCAGTCTTCAAAGATACCTGGAAACTACAGAAGAGTGGATGATGATCTGTGTCAAAGAACATGGAAGAAATAACAAACTTTATTCAGTAATAAAGGAAGCCAACAAATTCAATAATAATAATAATAACGTGTCCAGATCCGCAGGAGGCAGAGGATTAGTTCAACTAGACCTGTCTTACAAAACCACAATAATCGGTATTCAAAGATACCTGGAAACTACAAAAGGCTGGATGATGATCTGTGTCAAAGAACATGGAAGAAATTTTATTCAATAATAAAGGAAGCCAACAAATTTAAAAGGGAATTTCATGTTTGTGAAGAAGTGTAAATAAACCATAATACACATATTGCAGCAGCAAAAAAACTAAAAAGAAAGCAAAAGCAATGACCTAAAAGCAGAAACGATGGCTAAATAAGCTTCTTCATGGTCGATACTCTCCCCGTAGCAAACAAGCAGATGTCTACAAACCCTGTACCCATCAGTGGTTACATAGTGGAGGGTTAAAAGCTGAAAACGATGCTTTTATTCTTGCTGGACAGGAGCAATGCTTACTAACTAGAAATTACCAAGCACACATACTGAAAAATTAGGTTAACCGAAATGCAGATTCTGTGATAAATATCCAGGAACAATTGACCATCTTGTATCAGGTTGCACGGAGTTAGCACCCAGTGAATATAGAATTCGGTATAATGGAGTGGGCCAATATCTTCACTGGAAAATATGCAACTTTTACGGGATTCCTAACATGTCTTGCGTAGTGTTCTCCAGTGTCTCAGTGTGGACTTATCTCAATGATAATCTACCAGAAATATGAGTCCTCCATACCTCAGATAATGACAATGTGCTGTAGAAACGACCACCACATTAACTTGACCCCATGTTGTTGCTGTTTTTTTATTTTATTTCGACGGGGCTATGTGAAAAGACATATCTATATCCCGCGTCTTCCTCTAAGCCTAGAGGAACTTAAGTAGAGAATCACTAAGACGATGGAGAATGTTACGCTACACATGCTACAGCGTGTTTGGCAGGAGCTGAACTACCGACTTATGTCGTGTTCCAGTTATCGTGGGAGCGCTTGGGACTTGAAAATGGTTGAGTAAAATTATTGAATGGGATTCGAACCGGGATGCTTCCGAAATCCGAGGTGGTCAAGGCAGTCAAGATTCAGGGAAAGGTTTCGTTGATTTAGAGAAGGTAAAGAACTGACATTGTCCTTTGTTATGACCAGATCCTGAAACCCAAGCTGGAAAAAATGAAAATAATGATAATAATAATGTTTTAAGCGATTAATTGCGATAAATAAAATTCAGTTAAATGCGAAAAGAAAAGAAAGAAAATTGAAGCTATTAACACCTTAGCAATATCTGTGGCTACATAATATTTCAGTCAGTCGGAATCTCGAAAGAAATATGAAGAACAGATAAAAGGTTCGGAAAACACTTCACTGTGTATAACAAATTAGATGTAGCTCGATTGTACTTGCTTAGGGCAGATAGGGGTAGAGGACTGAACAAACTAGAAATTACATACAAGACTACAACCAAAGGTCTTAAAAGATATCTTGAATTAACCAATGATTGAATGCTAAAGTAGTAATCCAACAAAAAGCTACATTCAATTATCAAAGAAAGGCAAGCATTTGTTATGGTGACCTATCTACATTACAATGAACTGTTTCTCCTTCATAAATACTAACCTGCGAGACTTCCTTGGGAGGCAGTCGATACGACGTCTCTGAGTGTGCGACTACTGTCGAACTCTCTGCTTTTGCAGAGAGGACCCGAACGGGGCTTTGCCGAAGGGCAAAGTTTCGTCCGGGGAGGTACACAGATCCTGAACCCGCTTATGCTGGTTCTAAGTAAATATTTTTGGCCGACCCTACGGGCTCGGAGAAACCCACGTTAAACTTGGCCTTGTGTCACATATATTCCTCGCGGGGATTCTGTTAAATATCGGCAGTCGACACTCAGTGCAACCTGATAGTTCGAACAGACACTTCTATCTGCTGACTAATAACACTCTTAGGAAAAGAGAATAAAATAAATATTTGAAGAGTAGAAAAGAATGTTAGAATATATGGAAAGAAACAAAGTAAACAGTAGAATCCCCGAGCCAACTCCTTGGCGATTAAAATTTAAAGATAAAATATCCGACCAAGAAGTACAAATGAAGAGCGAAAACATAGGAATGTGGACACCACAGACTTCAAAATCAAGCAAATTAGACATTACAAAAGAAGATGAATCTCAAATTAAGACAAGAGAAAATACAGTTAGCCTAACAGGCATGAATGTGAACCTGTAGACTCCTCTGTTGATTATAGAGTCACAGCTAAATAACAAACGTTACGTGTTTCTGTTGTGGTTTCCATGGTAAGTACGAGGTTGGGCTGAAAAGTTCATAGGTTGACTATGAAGGGATGATGCTAGAGCTTTAAAATCTTGCATGCATTAATTACAACTCTTGTTATTAAAAACCGCATTCTTTCTTTCCATGTAAACTGACATTTGACCGTTCATAGAAGACTTCAGAAGTTACTAGTAGCGAATTCTCTTCAAAACGGACAGAATTTGGTATCGTGGTGATATCACGTACCTGCAGAAAATGGGTTAGCCCATAAGGACAATCATACTGATATGGGTGCTAGATTAAATGATGAGGCTCCAAATTTATCAACAGGGGAACGGAGAGTCTTGGAGCTGGCCCAATGTCTGGACGTCCTTCATCTACAACTACCGCAACTGAGGAAAGCATTGTGTTCACCACACGGTGGTGGATCACAGGTGAATGACTATAAATCAAATAGCCAATTCTATTAGCATAGCCTGTGACTGAGTTTGAGAATATTCTGCACAAGGAACTTGATATGACGAAGGTTTCTGGTCGGTGGGTGTCACGTCTTCTGACACCGGAACAAAAGCGCACCAGCCTGACCACATGTTGGGAAGATTGTTTGAGACAGATCTAGCTTGTCTCCCGTGAATGTTCTCTAACCCAATATGAGGGTAAGAGATAAAGAGACAATTCGTGTAGTGGAAACCGCCTCCTCACCTGCTCCAAAAACATCAAGTTCGTCTTCTATGAAAGGAAGGCGATGGCCTCAGTTTCGGGGCATGCAAAAGGCGTTGTTTATTGACTGTCTTCAAAAGGGCCACACCATCAATGGAGAGTACTGTGTCAACTTTCTGAGACAATTACGAAAGGCTATCAAGTCTAAACGCCCTAGAAAACTGACGAAATGGGGTCTCTCTTCATCAGGCAATGCTACAGTTCTTGGTTTTAATGACTGCTGTGCGCGACTATAGTTTTAAACTTCTTTCTTTTTATGTGCTATGTCCTTTCAAGAAGTAGGCGATCATGGCTCTCCACCTCCCTCTATCCCTTGCAGATCTCAACAAGTTCCCTCCCTCTGCTTCCTCTCCCAGACTACGTTCTGTCATCCCCTTGCTTAAGTCCACCAGGTATGTCACACGTTGTTTTCCCTTGTCTCTCTTTCCCTCTATTTGACCCGTGAATATCAGATTCTCCAGACACTCCTTCCTACTTTCTTTTTATGTGCCATGTCCTTTCAGGGTGTAGGCGATCATGGCTCTCCACCTCCCTCTATCCCTTGCAGCCCTCAACAAGTTCCTTCCCTCTGCTACCTTCTCCCCCAGACCCCGTTCTGTCGTTCACTTGCTCAAGCCCGTTAGGTATGTCATGCGTTGTTTTTCTTTGTCTCTCTTTCCCTCTATTCGACACGTGAGTATCAGATTCTCCAGACCCTCCTTCCTTCTTTCTTTTTATGTGCCATGTCCTTTCAGGACGTAGGCGATCATGGCTCTCCACCTCCCTCTATCCCTTGCAGCCCTCAACAAGTTCCTTCCCTCTGCTACCTCCTCCCCCAGACCCCGTTCTGTCATCCACTTGCTTAAGCCCACCAGGTACGCCACGCGTTGTTTTCCTTTGTCTCTCTTTCCCTCTATTCGACCTGTGAGTATCAGATTCTCCAGGCCCGCTTTCCTCATTATGTGTCCCAGAAACTTCAGCTGCCTCTTCCTGATGTTAAATATAAGCCTGCTCCTTGTTTGCCTCCTCTTTAAAACTTCATCGTTGCTCTCACGCTCGGTCCGTGATATCCTCAACATCCTTCTGTAGAACCACATCTCCGTCTCCTCGAGTCTCTTCTTCATCTTTGAGGAAATTGTCCAACATTCGCTGCTGTAAAGAAGGACAGATGTCACGTAACAGCTCAGTATTCTTTTCTTCGTTACCAAAGAAATCCTCCTCTCTTGCAGTACTCTGCCCAGCTTTTGGAATGCGTCCTTGGCCATCCCAATACGTCTACGGAACTCAGTGTCGCACTTATCGTCCTCTGTCAAGACGATTCCCAGATATTTAAACTGCATTTCGGGCTCATCCTTTTACTGATGACCATGCATTCTGTCTTCTTGTAGTTTATACTTAATCCCTTCTTCTCACTCTCCGTCGCCTCGAGTCCATCTTTAAGGAAATCGTCCAACATTCGCTGCCCTAAAGAAAGACAGATGTCACGTAACAGCTCAGTATTCTTTTCTTTGTTACCAAAGAAATCCTCCTGTCTCGCAATACTCTGCTCAACTTTTGGAATATGTCCTTGGTCATCCGAATACGTCGACGGATCTCAGTGTCGCACTTAACGTCCTCTGTCAAGACGCTTCCCGGATATTTAAACTTCCACGTCTGCTTGATTATAGTGTTCCCGACCTGAAAATCGTGTTTTGAGCTCATCCTTTTACTGATGACCATGCATTCTGTCTTCTTGTAGTTTATGCTTAGTCCCTTCTTCTCACTCTCCGACCCTACCTTCTGTACGAGATTTTGTCATTTCTTTTCCTTGTATGCTATCAGTACTCTATCATCTGTGCATCTTATGTTGTTAGGATTGTGGCCGTCAATGCTAAATCCCGGTAGGGTTTCCAATTGACTATCATCTTTTCCCCAATATGAAAAAAAAAAAATACAGTGATACTTTCTTCTTCCCCCCTCTCT